GAATCAAAGTTTACCTATTTGAATTTCAGATCACGTTACTTGCATTTTTTATGAATTGTGTTTAGGCTCCAGAGGAAAGATATGTCCAAAAATTCTCTTTCATTTGGATCTTAGGTAAAGTGTTAAGATGACAGATGTATCAAGACTCAAAAACAAACCATTGGCTGAGCAATTTTGTTTTTGATTGACTTACTGCAAAATCCATTTCACTTGTGCATGTTTGTACCAACCACAGCTAGTAGCTGAAATGTAAGTGACGAGGTATTTTCTCATTAACTGGTCTTATTGTCTAAGAGTTCAAGGCAGAATACAGTTCACAGTGGAAACTAAGGCAGGGGTCAAATGTGAGAACCTGGTATGAAATTTATTCCCAATTAAGAAACACAAATGATTTCTAAGATACCAGGACTGCCTTAAATCTTTTGCAAATTATTTAAAATGTAATTGATAGCACACATGATACTTTTATTCATTAGTCAGCTTGAGAAACACAAAGCACCTGTGTGATGAGACCTCTTGTGTGGGTGCTACTGGACTACAGGAGCAGGTAGTTTGGTTTACTATGGAAAGGAAAAACTCACATAACCTTATTTTCCAAATCAGCACATCATGAAGGCCTTTCATGTCCATTCTTTATGTACAAGATGATCTGGGATCCTGTAAGACCTACCAACAGCATTTTCTCTTTTCAAGTTTGACTTAGTACAACATTTCTATTCTGACTGACCTAATGTGACCATCATTAGGGTTATTTACTTGAATTAAATCACAAATGTAGGAGTGTTGTTTTAATGTACACTATTGAAATGTACATGTAAATTCTGAGGAATGGAAAATCTTTGGGGGGTGGTCATCTTTAATCTTTTTTATATCCATAGTCACATGAATTCAAGCCAGTTTGGAAGTTGTAGATATCCTAGAGCTAAACTCTGAGACTAGCAAAATTCAGGAGTGGGTGGAAATAGAGGAAAGTGTTGAACAGCAACTCCTGAGAGGGGTTAGAGGCAGATGTCAGTGAGTCCAGGCCAGAGAGGGCTGCAAGCTTCACCAGGATCACCTCTGTATTTTCATTTGCTAAATATGTAGTGAATTCAAGAATAACTGCTGAATAAACTATTATAGAAAATATCTTTACAGGGAAAGAGATAATGGGATGAAAGAGTAAATGGCAGTGAATAAGAATAAAATGACAATGTATAGACTTAATAACCCTTTGGCGTAAGTATTCAGAAAGAAACCTGGTTTCTGAAATAATAACTGAGAAAGTTGTGGTTTTCTGTGGAACCAAAATGACTCTCCAGCTAGAGGAACAGAGAGAAAAGGGAATGAACAGCCAAAAGACAAAGTGCCATAGACACATTTCCTTCTGGACAAGAGAGCCTTATGCTTACTTCTGTGTACTCTTGTTTATATGTATTTACTTTCCAATTATGTTATGGCAAATGCCAAAATTATTTGTTTTTCCAAGTAAAATATGAAGCTTGTTTCTTCATACTTAGAAAAACACAGAAGGAAAAAACACATGTGGGGTTATGACAGTAACCCAAAAGATTATGTTTAGTTGTAGTTAGTTGATTTTGTATGGATGTTTACATGTCCACATAGATTATGTATGTTTGCATCTGTCTGTCAGATAACTTTACAGAAAACATTTGGCTCATGAATGAAATTAGTTCTTGCCTCCTTTTTAGTCTAAGGTGTAGTTGTGTTTGTTTTAGCATTTGATTCCATATGTGTAATTTTGTTTTAGATGGCAGAATATTTGTGCAAACAAATTTCATGTGAACTTTGACTTTAACTGTACTTGTAAAAGCTTGCTTTTGGAGCTTGTAGGGTGCTGCGTCCATCTCTGAGGTAATCTCTTTATAATGGTCCCCATAGCAAAGGAGTTGTTGAGCAAGTATACTATGTTTGAATTAATTTTTTGATTAGCAGTATACATGAGAAGAATTAACCCTGTGTATGTAGGAGGTAATTTTTCTGGAGATAAACAGAGAGGAAAATGACAGAAATAGGTAAAGCATCTTCAGATTTTTCTCTTCATTCCTTGAGGTGTTTTTTTTCTTTAATGTAGCTTTTTTCCCTTCAAATAAGCGAATGGAGATTTGTTGCTTACACATTTAGCTTTATTTTGTCTTTTTCCTTTGCTCTAAAATATTCTTCAAAAGTATATGAAGCAGTGGATTAGCAGCTTAATTTTCTCCACTTCTGTAATGTTCCCTGATTGGCAAATGAAAACAAAAGCACAAGATATAGCCCATTTGTAAAGTCTAAGTACTTTACAGGTACTTAATTATAGCACACGGATCAGGGTCCTTGCCTTTGTTACAGCCTGGCTTATCCTTACAAATTTACGAATTCATTCCTGTGTGTGCACATGTGTGTGCGTGTGTACATATATGTGTACTATTGAATAAACACATGTATTCATATTTATAATTTTATTGTGGTAAAAACATTTAACATGAGATCCACCCTCTTAAACTTTTAAGTGTAAAATACATTATTGTTTACTACAGGTACTATATAATGGAGCTGTCTAGGGGATTTTAGCTCTGAATGCACACTTTCTCTCTTAGAGTCATTCAAGTTCTCACTCAGCAATCTGTTAAATTCCACTCTGGACAGGCTGGTATGTGCCAGGATCAGGTGAGAAAGCCCAGACCTATGTCTGAAAGTTCCAAAGAGCCTGCTGCTAGAGTCCTCTCCTCTTTGCTATAGCCATCACTGTCTAACTTCAAGTCGTGGCTTGCTGCCTCCATTTCTCTGCTCAAAGACATTAGAGCAAGAGAAATGGGACGACTTTTGAATAGCCCATACATTGCTTTGGAAGCCTTGTCGCTGGGTGGACAATCCTCACCAGGCAGAGTTGCCTGGACAGCTTGTCTCCTGCTGTTTCAGGGGCTGGTCTGGTGGGTACCAATGGCGCCCCCAAGCGCTGCGCGCTGAACGTGCCAGTAGCTCTTGGGACTGCATTGTACCTTGGAACAAACAAACCCCACCTGGGGAACCATAAGGGCCCACAAGAAAGGCTTTGCTTAGAATTCCCCGGGGCTAGGAGGCAGAAAGCCCAGGAAGGCAAGATCTCAAAGACTCTCAACCCATCCATTCACCTATCCCGTCGAGGATTTCATTTTTTGTGGAGAGGGCAGTTGCTTGGAAGGTAAAGATGCCCAATTGAGCTGCGAAGCCTAAACACTTGGAGCATATCCAGGGACTCCCCCTTCTCCCAGTCCCTCAGAAACACAGACGTGTACTCTGTGTGTGGTGGGGTTGGGGATGGAGGAGACTAAAATGATTCAAACTCTTCAGAGGGGAAAAAGTCCCATCTTTCCCCTTCTTTGGTCCTCTCCTCCCACATTCCAAAGCTTCTCTTGGATCTCTTGGGTACCCCCAGACTCACCTAGAGGGCTCCAGTTTCACACACACTCACTGGGAGGCACAGGCTAAAATCAAGCTTGTGTGCACACAGAACACAGTATCATCGCTCAAATGTTCATTTCTCTAAAGCTGCTATAGGGCTTTTCCAGCACTCCTGGCAGAGATGGAGTCACAGGCTAAAGATGGGTGGGAAGACTAAAAAAGGGTCTCGCTTGGGGACAGCATGCCCTCTCCATTCCCACATTTGCCCTGTGCCTGTTTCCAATGGCCTACCTGCTCCCTGAGCTGGGGTCAGGGATGAGGAGCCCCATGTTCCTCTGGGCGTGAATCCCCTTTTCTTATTGTCCTGGGGTGGAGGAGAGGGAGAGAGAGGAGGGGAGAAGCAGAGGAGGGGAAGCCTGGGAAGGAGCTTCAGTGAGGGGTTGAGGAGAGGGCGGTAGCATGGGGGGGTGAGAGAAATGTTTTTACTCTTTGTCACTCTTGAATTGGGGGCGGAGGAAAAACCCACTGTGGAACGCTATAAAAAGCAAAGAGGGCGCGGAGAGCGAGCAGAGAGAGCGAGCACTCGCCTGTGCAGAGCATAAATCTGCTCCCAGGGCATCGCTAAGTCTCTGGCAGGGTTTGGCAGCCGCGTGTGAACCGTGAATGCGCGCGTGGGGAGCCTCCGCTAGCCTCAGATCTCAAGAGTCACGTCTGGAGGGACTATTTCTAAGTCCTCGTTGTTGCGTCTGCTAACCTTGAAAAGAGTGACTTATGTCCTGCAAAGGTGCAGGCATAAAGTATAGGAAAGGAAAGAGAGAAAGCAGCTGAGCCCAAAGGAAAAGGTGCAGACCCCCTGATTTTAAAGAAGAGGATCGAACCGCGGGGACTCCAGCGCGACCGCAGAGGTGCGCGCGCCGCAAGGAGCAACGCCAGGCGTGCGATCCGCCGGGCTGGGTCTTCTAGCACCTTGGGTCACGCCTCCTTGGCTGGAAGGCGCCTCGCCTTTGATTGCTTCCAGTCACTGCACAACTTCCTGCCCTGGTGGAGAAGCGGGTCTTGCTCGGGTCGCGCTCACTCCTGGCTTGAGGCTTGAGACTGAGTTCAAACGGTCCTGGGTCTCCAAACCAGGAAGGGTTGGGGGAACAGTGTCTGCGGGGAACCCTTGCGCCCCACGTGAGGGGCCGAGTGTTGGGGTCCTCTCTCCCCTTGCATCCACATCCCTCGGGGCTTTGCGTCTCCCCGGGAACCCCTCGCCGGGAGATGGCTGCGTTGATGCGGGGCAAGGATTCGTCCCGCTGCCTACTCCTACTGGCCGCGGTGCTGATGGTGGAGAGCTCACAGCTGGGCAGCTCGCGGGCCAAACTCAACTCCATCAAGTCCTCTCTGGGCGGGGAGACGCCTGCTCAGGCCGCCAATCGATCTGCGGGCATATACCAAGGACTGGCTTTCAGCGGCAGTAAGAAGGGCAAAAACCTGGGGCAGGTAGGAACCCCCTTCCCTCTCCTCCCAAACACACTCTTCAGCCAAGAGAGTCAAGGTCCTGCGCTCCTTGCGCGCGCCGTTTGCCATTGCGCCTGGCAACACAGCACTAGGGCAGCCAGGTGTGACGCGCTGTGCGGCTGGGGTGCGGTTTCCCGCAGTTGGGTCTGCATGGGCGCGGGTCTTTGGGTGGTTGCTGGTTCCTGTGCTGCATGGAGTGGGCGGGCCAGGGTTCTGTTTCACCTTTGCTTTGGGACGTGGGCACGTATTAAGATCTAGTGTGTCTCCTTCAGGAAAGTGGCCAGAGTGGTCCTTCCATGTAGCATGGAGATGCAACTGATGAAAACGTGCAGCTAACACATAGCGACTATGACGTGAGAAGCATCGCTCCAAGAGCTTCTCGTGTTCACTGGTTTAATCTTCACAATTCCGTAAGACAGGCGCTGTTGCTTTTCCATCCCCAAATGAAGTAGTTGGGTCGTAGATCAAGGATTTGCATAAGGCACACGTCTAGAGTATCGGTGACAAAGCGGAATTTCTCCAGAGTCCAGGTCCTGGGCGCGCACTACATTTTTACAACCTGGAGCGGGGATTTACCCCATTTCAGGCTCTCCTTCTCTCCCAACCGCTTTCTACAGGCACAAACCATCTGCAGTAGATGCGCGGTTCTCACTCCTGTAGAACTGTAAATAAATCATCTGGGAGGAAGAAAATGATGAGGTGACAAGGACAGCGGTTTAGGCGCCGGCGATTTAGAAAGGACACCGGAGGCGGTTTTGCTAGAGGGAACTTCCCGCGGGTCTCAGTGTCACACGGACAGATAGATTGACAGTTTCTTGCAAACAGTTTCACAGACACACACTGAGACCGGAGCGCGCACGAAGGGCACCAATTGTGGTCCGCCAGCGCACAGCGGCCAGGAGAGGGGGCTCTGTGGGCACTGGGAACCATGACAGCTCCACCTTCCGCTCCTTTTATGGGAAGCCAAAACCGAAAGCCAGTTTGCCAAACAGCTCACGTACCTCGCGCAAGTGTTAACCCCCGGCGGCGGGCCATACCCGGCAGGTCGCCGTACCCAATAGGTCTGGGTTTCCGTCTCTCTTTAGAATTGCTAAGGCTGCGTGAGGCTCTGCGAGCTGTGTCCGCCGCCGCTACCCACTGCAAAGAGGAGAACGCAGGGTGACGGTTGACAGCCAGAGCCAGTCTAAGAGGGAGTCTACAGGCCCTAGCTTGGCCCCCTACTGCCCTCTCACGGGGACAGTTTTGGTCATTTTGCATTTGGAGAATGATTCCCAGGGTTTTGAAATGCCAAACATTTCAACTATTCTCTCAATGGATCACAAAGTCTGCATCACAGGATTTTTTTTTTAAGAGCGCACGGAAAATAAGAAGCTATGCAAATGGATTCATGTGTGTACACACATAGCCTTTGAACATCCTTACAAGCACTGGCATGCCTCCGCACTTAGACAACCACTCTCAGCCCCTTTCCCTTTTCCTGGGAGGCACCTTGACATTTTCAACAGGGATCAATTCAACAGTCTCTTAGAAATCCCTCATGAGATGGGGCAAGGGTTAGAAACAATACATACCCTTAATCGCAGAGAACTTCTTCAACGCTACTGACCTATAACTCCACGTTAGTAGTTTAAGAGAGCTCAATGTGTAGTTCCTTCAAGGACAGAGGGACCCAAAATCTTTTGAGATTCCCCTAGATTCTAACTCTATTCTCAGTTTCCTAAAGTGCTTTGTGACACATTCCAGAATTTAGCTTATCTTTTAGGTTTTGATAATAAATAAATAGTTACAAATTTTGTAAATTTATTTGGTCATTTCTATAAGTATCTATTTAATTGTACTGCGACTCTACTTGCACCTCCTCAAATTGAAGATTTATTTTTTACAAATAAGTTAAAATTATGATATGCCTTCCATAACTAAGTTCTATGAAATATATTGCATTATGTGTATGTAGCCATAATTAACAGATCCTGAAAATTTGACATTTGGTTTGTGAGACAATTGTAACATTTTGGAATTAATGACAAAACAAATCAAAATGTTGGGTTGAATACCAGAAGAATAGCTGGTAAGTGGGAGGACTGTGTTTTGTGTACTCTAACTTTTCATTTGTCAAACAGGATCTAAAATGTATACTTTATGAAGAAGCAAACAGAAAGCCTCCATCTTTGAAACACAAATTCTTTGAATATTTATTAATCTGTGTTCTTTACTCCACTAGTTATGTGGTCACCAAAATTTTTAGTATTCTTATTTTCAAAATGAGATGAAAATTAGAAAGACATCTCAAAAGGGATTATGCCACTTTTGTAGAGAAATTTCTAGAATTGAAATGTAGCTACATGGAACTTTTATCCATCATAATAGTAAAACATGGTTGAAAAGACTGGAAACAAAGTGTCAAGTGACCAACTAGATAATTATATAATGCCATCCTAGGCTTAATGTGTTTGATTTCCCTCCACCCACTTTCCATGAATGAGAATGTTGAAGCACATGCCTTTCAGAGATAAAAGAATTAAGGAATTCTAGGATACAAATTTAGATTACAAATTTAGTCTATGATCTCCTTTGTCTTAAATGTAAATTTAAAATTATCTATTTTACTTTCTCAGGATAGAGAATTAAAATAAAAATTTGTTGTCATGGCAGAAGAGATTATTGAAGAAATTTAATAATCCATTAATCCACATAAATCAAAATGAGACTAAATGGACTCCCAGGCTTTCTTGATTCACTGTTGGCCTGGTTTTCTATGAAGAGCAACACTGGTAAGAGAAGCAATTCTTGTTCCATTCACAGAGTGGATTATTTGCAGATTACTCTTAGAAAATGTACCCTTAAATTTTAAGGCAAATTTCATAATTTAGAATGTGCAGAGAGAAAGCATGCTATCTATGCTTAGCATATTTTCAGGTGTTACAATTTGCTTTCTTTGGTTTGCTTTCAAAGACACAACTATACATTATGATGGAAACTGGTTGGTACAGAATTAGCAAAATTGATTTTGCTGAATTATTCATATGAATTTTTAGTTTGACTTTTCATTTGCAGCTATTGCTAGTGGGTCTTAAAAGGTAGTGTATGTGTGAATGAGTACAAGATAAATTGCAGGACTGTTACTAATATGTAACATTTATATGTTTCAATGTTTATATATTTTAGTTCCTCAGGAGAGTAGTTCATACTTTTAAAATCAAAAGTAATTTTAGATATAATGTTCAATATCACGTGAATAAATATATTCTGATTAAATATGCTGTCGCTTGACATTGCCTGTGGAGTTGCAGTATCAAATTTTATGGGCCACCTCCGAAACAAGTTTTAAAAAAGATCCAAGCAATTACAAATCATTTTACTTGTACAATTCACAACTTTTTTGTGTGTACGTTAATGAAAATGAAAAGACTTCTGAATTAGTGTTTATAAGAGCTTCTTTTATTTTTTTCACACTTTGTCTTACTGAGACTAACAGATGAATGTAATTTGAATGCAGGGCTGAAGTATTTTGAAATTCTTTTAAAAGCGATGACAGCAACAGTGACAAATAATTATATTCTTAATATATATAAGCTTTTTGACATGTGTCTCTCAAGAGAACCTGAAACTAGTTTAATGTAAATTCAGAGTCCATGATTTTCTAATATAATGTGGACACTTGAAGGACAGTAACTTAGATGAATTTCTGTTCTGAGAAAATAATTCTTGAAATACAGTGAAACAGAACTTAAAGGAGTTGGTTAGAGATCATTAATCTACAAATATTAAAATGTTTGCAGATTGTGCTTTCTTTAATAAGAATGCTGTATATGCTTGCACACACAAGCATTTATGACAGTGATCACTGAAGCAAACTATATACTCTAGTTTTTGTAGGTGTTCTCTTCTCTTTCTGAAATTATGTGACCTTTTTATTTATTTATTTTTTTAACCCCAGCCCAACTTCCCTTTGTTACAGAGTAAATAACCTGCTAATCCTCTCTAGATATCAACTAACACTAAAAGCAAATCATTTTTAAGGTTAAAATTTCCAAAATAATTTAAAAATTTTTGAAGCAGTCTACATTAAGATCCCTCTTCTTAAACCTATGATTTACAATGACTTTGATAATTGATACAAGAAGAAGGTTACTTTGTAGACAGCAAGAAAAGCATTTTAATGCTAATCTAAGTATGAGCATCCATCATTTTATTTTTGTGCTAGACTGAAGAGACCAAGAGGACAAGGTGACTTAAACTCACTCCAGCTGTGACTCCGACCCTGCCATAGGTTTCTTTAGTATTCTCCAAAACACAAACTTCTGTCCTCTTTTCCTTCCCAGAGTAATGCAAGTCTATAATTTTTAAAGATACAACAATGTCACAGAAAGGTCACTGACATATTCTGTTATAGGAGATTATTGGCACTTACTCTTCCTTTCTCTGTGTAATTAGTTTAAATGTACACTATTAAATCACCTGTGAAGTCTTAGCAGAAATTTGTAATACTTAGTATATTTACCAGTTTAGATCAGTCTTTTATGGCTATTCATTTTTTTGATATTGAGGTAACAGCAAAATGATTTGCAATCCTATTTCTGCCTGTGACTCCCTGACAGATGGTTATAGTTGTTTTACATCATTTTACCTCTAGTCGCTTGTATTCAAGTGAGATAAACCTGGTTCTAGTCATTTATGTGATATTTGTGACTGCATGAGCCTTTTACTTTTTAAAAGAAATCTGAAGTGAAAGTCAAAAAGAACTAAGACAAACAATAATTAAAGATAAATAATAATTAATGCTTTTGTATTCTGTAGCATCGTGTTAAGATTATACAGAAAAATTAAATAGGGAATACACAATGAAAATTTAGTATTACTATTTTAGGTAAGCAGAGGTCAATTCTTTTTATCCTAGATCTACTCTTGCCAGGAACTAAAACAGGACACCATATTTTCTCTAATTGTTAGTTTTGTTAGGACAAATCTAAACCATTTTCTCAAATAAAGAGGTCAATTGATCTAAAATTTGGGAGTTTTTTAAAAATAGGAACATCTGTCCTCAGGAAGAAAAGTCACCATCCAAATATTTAAAATAGTGACTTTCCAATGTGTGTCTCATGCTGACAACTTTGGGTCACTGCCCACTTTGGGTTCAAACAAATGACAGGAAGGCCATGAATGACACTAACATCTAATCAGGTGTCCTCTTGAAGAGTTTGTCCCATAAATTATTTTCTGCATAATGGTAAATTGAGCCAGACAAACCTTTAGGACTA